CCAGAACTAATGCTCCTCGCGACAGCCCCTCCTTGGCCGATTCCTCTGAGGAAGGATCTACTGACTCAGAGACGGGGCACCCTTTGGTACCCGCGTCCAGACCTCTGGAAACTTCATGTCTGGTCCCTGGACGGGACGCAGAGGTTCTAGGTAACATACCCCAGGAGGTAGTAGACACCAACACTTCGGCGCAAGCACCTGAAGTGGAATCTGTTCGTCGAGTGGTGTTCTTCTCACCGAGAAGACCCCCGGAGATGCCCGATCAGAGTCGTGCTTTCCTTTCTGCAGCAGGGGTTGGAGCGAAGGCTGTCTCCCTCCACCCTTAAAGTCTGTGATGCTGCGATTGCTGTTAACCAAGACCCAGTGGAAGGGAAGTCAGTAGGGAAGCATGACCTGGTCATCAGGTTCCTTAGGGGGGCGAGAAGGCTAAATCCTCCACAGCCCCCCTCTATACCCTATTGGGACCTGACTCTAGTGCTCAGAGCACTACAGCGGGGCCCATTTGAGCCTTTGCACTCAGTCGAGCTGAAGTTTCTGTTAATGAAAACTCTGCTCCTGCTTGCATTGGCCTCCATCAAGAGGGTAGGGGAACTGCACGCATTTTCTGTCGACGAACCGTGCCTAGAGTTTAGGCCAGATAACTCCCAGGTAATCCTGAGGCCACGGCCCGGCTATGTGCCCAAGGTTCCTACTATTCCCTTCAGGGATCAGGTGGTGAGCCTGCAAGCACTGCCCCCGGAGGCAGCAGACCCAGCCCTAGCTTTGCTCTGTCCCATCCGAGCCTTGAGATGGTACGTGGACCGGACACAAAGCTTCAGGACCTCAGATCAGCTCTTTGTCTGTTATGTGTATGTGTATGTGTATGTATGTTATGGTCAGGGAATGCCGTCTCCAAGCAGAGGATGGTCCACTGGATAGTGGATGCCATCACACTGACCTATCAGGCACAGGGTGTGCCCTGCTCGCTCAGGTTGCGAGCTCACTCTACTAGAAGTGTTGCATCCTCCTGGGCGCTGGCTCATGGCGCCTCGCTGACAGATATTTGTAGGGCTGCGGGCTGCGGGCTGGGCGACCCCCAACACGTTCGTTAGATTCTATTACCTTCATGTTGAGCCGGTATTCTCCTGTGTTCTCACCTCGGTTAGAAGCACTGAGAGGCCCCAGCTAGTGTTGGCTTGCTAAAACCGCTCCAGAGAGTCCGCACTGTAGACCCTGTCGAGCTCCTCCATCCCCTCGGCAGCCAGACGTGGCGGAACGTCCGGTGCCAGGCCCTCACTCAATGAATCCGTGAGAACCAGTAGAGGGCTGGGTTCCATATGTAGTGACTTAAGTGGATCCCATATGTGTAAATTCCACGGTATAGCCTCAGAGCCCGTGTTTCCCTGGCAGATTTTCTGCCATTTTCCAAGAGGGTTACAATCACCTCTAATCTCCCATATGCACTTAAACGGTTATCCATATGTGTAAGTGCTTCCGAAACCTCCTTCGAGAAGGATGAGGCTTCCGCAACGTTCCTGTTCCAATTGGAATGGGTACGTTTTCCCAGTGTTATCCAATCTCACTGAATGGGTAGTGCTACGACAACAGAGACTGGAGAGATTGGTCTTCCTGGTGCGAGCCCCGGCCTACACCAAAAAGGGGCGCAGGAGGCTCACACAGGGCACTGAAGGGGTGCAGCATCCGTGGTGCTTTGGTAGGGATCCCAATTCGCCGGTCACCGGCGTGACGTCGAAAGTGACCAACTGAAAGGGAACGTCTCGGTTACGTATGTAACCCTCGTTCCCTGAAGGAGGGAACAGAGATGTCATGTCCCATCACCACGTCTGCTGTACAACCGGCTCGGCTCCTCAGCAAAAACCTGAGTATGCGTTGCACCTGCTGCCTAATTATACTCGCGCTGCGAACAGTGGCAGCTGGATGCAATCATCGCGTGCCAATGTGCATTGGCTCATTTAGTTACACTTGAAGTAGATTGGTCTACTCTAAGTGAGATCCCAATTCGACGATCATACCGATGTGACGTATCTGTTCCCTCCTTCAGGGAATGAGGGTTGCATACGTAACCGAGATGTTTTCAATTGGTTTAACTTGAAGTACTGAAAAAACAAAAACTGAAATAAAAAAAAAAAACCGAAAAAAAAAAAAAGTACTAAAACTTTACCTAAAATTTTAATTAAAATGGAACATATGAAAATAAAAAATCCAAAATATTGTATAATAAACTATAATTGCATCTCAACGATACTAAAATGACACTGCACATTACTGACTATGTGTTTGTAACAGCTAAAAATGAAAACAATCCTGGTGTAAAACATGCTATTTTTATAAAAATAAAAAATGAATCCTGCAGGAATCCAGTTCCTTTTGGAGCCCCGTGTCTATTGCTAATTATTTGGCTGCCTTACAACAATGAAAGTTGGTTTCGTATGCACCTGACTCCAGACTTGAACTCCTCGATGAGCCGGTTCTTCTCCTCCTGGTCTTCCACCCAGTACATGCTGGGAATGACGAACTCGGACACCACGCGGCACTCGGGGCAGGACCTGCACACAATCACACATTACCTCACAGCAGTGGCAGACTGGCCATCTGGAGCACCGGGAGTTTTCCCGCTGGGCCGCTGTACAATGTGGGCAGGCCCATTGCGTACATGTAAAGAATGAATTACAGTAAATATACGTAGCCTATCCCTCCATCGGCCCAGACGAATGGCCCGCGAGCCCACTTGAGACAAACATTCTAATTAATTTACCGCGTTCTGGCTCAATCAAATTAAAGAAGGCAGGATTTACTGTTCACAGAAGCTGAGCTGCATGGCATTTGAATGCGAGCTGAGGTAAGAGACAATTCAGCAATATTTGCCAACAGTTTACCAAAAATGTTTAACGACAGACATTAATTTTCAGGCATGCAAACTACTTGGCCTACTGGCCTTTTCAAATTTCTCAGATTTTAATGCCATTTACATTGTTTGCCACAGCGTAGCCTACATAGAAACATTAACGTAGCTGTTTTCAGCAGACATTTGTATATCGTTATATTTCTTCCGAAATTTCACGTCTAAGAAACTTTTTCAAAAAAACTGTAAAAATATAATTCTCAAACTTACTCTAGAACATTGTAAAGTGCCGTGATTAGGAAAGTTCTATTTTTCTATTAAAGATATTTTAATAAGAATGTTTTAACGGTTTAATGTTTAAATGTATTTATTTCTGTGATGCGCAGCTGTATTTTCAGCATCATTACTCCAGTCTTCAGTGTCACATGATCTTCAGAAATCATTCTAATATGCTGATTTGCTGCTTAATTATTTTCAATTATTATTTGTGCTCAGTCATTAATAATGGTTCTTATTATTATCAATACTGAAAACCGTTTTTGTTTCTTAATATTTTTGTGGAAACTGTGACACTAACTTTTTCAGGATTATTTGTTGAATACAAAGTTAAAGAACAAATTTTTTTACATATAAATAATTTGTAATAAGCATAGCTTTACTATCACTTAAATCAATTTAATGCAACCTTGTTGAATAAAAGTTTTATTATTATTATTTTAAATCTTACTCTAGACTGAATGGTGATGTATCACATTTTCCACAAAAATATTGTGCAGCACGACTGTTTTCAACATTGATAATAATCAGAAATGTTTCTTAAGCAGCAAATCAGCATATTAGAATGATTTCTGAAGATCATGTGACACTGAAGACTGGAGTAATGATGCTGAAAATACAGCTGCGCATCACAGAAATACATTACAGTTTAACAGATATTCACATAGAAAACAGCTACTCTAAATTGTAACTCTATATATTTCACATATTACAGTTTACTATATTTTTCATCATCATAAAATTCTTCATAAAAAAAAAAAAACTCTAGTCAAGCAATTGCATTCATTAATGTTAATGATAATAATTTAAAAAAATATATATATTTCTGTATTGTGTTATATTTGTATGTCAGTAAGTGGTGTTAAAAATAGCTCTAATGAGCTGGTGGGTTTATGGTGTGGTGGGCCGCTCTGTGCCAAAAAGTCCAGGGCCACGTTTTAGCACCAGTCCGCCCCTGCCTCACAGCGTTTGAGACAGCAGGGCTAACATCAGTGCGGCTCTGGACTCACTTGCGGATCTGGTTCTGGAACTGCTCAGCGCAGCGCCACTGCCGGATGCAGCTCAAGCAGTACGTGTGGCAGCAGCTGGAGAGGATGCCAAAGCGCCGCTCGGACGGGGACGCCTTCTCATACACCACATCCAGACAGATCTTACACTGCTTGTCCTGACTCTGCTGTGCCGCGAACGCTCTCTCCATGTCCAGCTCAAAGGCCGTCATGCACATCTGAGCACAGACAGCAGCAGCATCACATACGCTTCCTCACAAAGGAGTGCAACAGTGACCGTCTAGTATGAATCTTTCTCATTCAATTTACTAAATGAAATTTTAAAAAATTAGTTCAATCAAATGCAACTAGTTCAGAGATGAATCACAATCTTGCAAGATTTGATCAAGTCAAAAAAGTATCAAATTTGGAAAAAGCTGCATAGTAAAATTTATGAGAATGAACTATGACATATACATAAGGGATGTAACGGTATGAAATTTTCTTATCACGATTATAGTGACCAAAATGATCATGGTTATCAGTATTATCACGGTATTGTTAAAATGTGCTGGAAATGTTCAAAAAGTACTGACACACAAATCATTTCACCGTTTTACATTTAAAATCAACAAACAACAAATAAAATTAGTTTTTGTTTGCATAACTAAAACAATAACGTTGCAAATGATGTTCGGATTTTAAATGACAACATGACTGACAACAGTTTATCTAATAGCATGTTCAAATATCTAATGTAAATGTCAAATATCTAATGTAATAAAACGGTGTTTTATGCTTCAGGGCTCCAGGCTCATTCTTCCCACTGGTCGCTCTTTTGCAACTAGCTTTCTCAGTTGGTCACACCAGCACATGATTTGGTCGCAATATTTTTATTTGTAGGGATTAATCAATGCATGCTGATGAACTTTTATCATAGTTTATAGTTATATGAAAACGAAAGTGGTTAACATTCAACCCCTTCTTTTTCATCAGTATTATTTGTGATTTGAATTTTGTGAATGGGAGTTCCTCTTTAGCTGTGTTATAAGGTGGGCTTCGGATGCTTTCACTTTCGAATTCGCGATATTGGTGTCACGTTTTACAAGAAAAGATAATTGTCTGATTTGCTTACATATTTCACTTTTTAAGCACTTTTTAAGACTAAAATAAAAGATGGATTCTTTGTTTTTCTTAATTAAAAAGCACAACAATAAAACAGTAAGATACAATGACAAACTAGCTTACAAAACGTTTATTAACAAAAACGAATAAGATGAGGCATGGCATACACCACATGCTGTATTATATACCGACTAATAAATTACAGAACGTTTAGCAAACACTGAGAAATCAAATAAATAAAAAAGAGAGCCTCCATAGCATAACGTGAGGTAAACAGCAAAGATAACAAGCTTTTCAAAATGAAAACAA